AACTGCCACTCCTGGAACACCTGACCTTGGCCAACAGTCTTACACACTGACTATTATTGACTATTCATTTTTTCCCCTCCTGCTGATGTCCAACAAACTGAATGATCTGGGCTGAAAGGGACCTTTAAGATGAACACATTCCTTGACTACACCTGATGCCCAGTGAGGTCCAGCCTCAGGTGTGCTCAGGACTAACATCCAGTCCTGGTACAGAACAGTCCAAAACATCCCCTGCACCTGCTGCAGGAGAGCTCAGCTCAGTGGAACATGCAGGTCTGTGCTGGCCAAGCTATGCTGAATTTCAGGAGGGACTCCATGAGTGCATCTGCAAGTGGAATAAATCTGTGCAAGGGCAAACAACTGCCCCTAAAAGTGCATTAACCAATACACACGCTCACTACTGCCCTTCTGAGAACAGCACAGGGCTGGTTTGATCTATTTTCTTCTCATTTTTATAGACAGAAAACATCTATTGTAATCATGACCTGAAAGCAATTTGTTTCCCTGCCAGATTCTGAGCAAGCAGTTATTCCAATTACCACACTCACAGGGAAAAAAAATCCCTTACAAAAGGCTGTCTTTCATCTCAAATTCTCTCTATGGGATTTATTTAAGGCACCAGTGAATGGGTTGGTATCATCTGGAATACCAGAAGCACTTATTAAACTTTGCAGAGTAAGAAGTTTGTTGCCTTATATTTTAGCAACAAAAAGACCAGGAAAAGGCACCAATACTGGAAGAAACTATTTCAATGGAGCTGCCAAATCCCAGCCTACGGGATGACAGAGCTCCAACAACCAGGGCCTCTGCAAATACCTCGCTCTTCCAAGAGCACATAGCTGGCAACATTCCTTTCTTCACTAACAATGTGTGAATTAATGATAAGAGATAGGCAAATGCTGAAAAATCAGATGAACAGATTTTTCCACAAGCCAGACAGTGCTTCAGATATTTGGGCTTAATTATAAACCCAAACCAAGCCATGAGGACATACCTGGAACAGGAAGAACCCACCCAAATTTAATTAAACAGCAGCTGTGCTGAGTTCCAGAGCACTCAGGTAAGTGTTAAAGTGTGACCTCCAGTTACCTGCCCAGAGCCAGCTGTGTCCTTCCCACCTCCTGCAGCAGGAGAAGGTGATGGATTGTCACCGGGAATGGGGGCTCAGTCACTGCCATGATGCACTGCTGGAGCTGCTTCCATCAGATTTCCATAGAACAGCTGATTTAGTCCTAAATATCTCTCAGCAGCAGAAGGATCTTTACAGTCAAGGAAACAGGAGAAAGCTGAAGGTGGGCACAAGGGCCTGGGCCTCCCATCCCTCTCCTTCACCCCATCCTGCATTGCAGCCTTACCATGTCAGCTCCAAGGAGACCATGGAATGTGGCCACCTATCCCAAACCCCTCCAAAGTCCTCACATGCCCATCCAGCTGTGCAAAATGCCAAAAAATGACTGGGGCATGAGGTAGTTCAGAGGAAAGGCACAGTGAGCTAACAGCCCTGGCAGCTACTGCAGAGCTGTCCCACCAAGCCCTGGGTCTGCAGGGCTGGTCCTGATCCAGGACAGGTGCTGCTCACTGACTCCATCCTGGTGCTCTGGATTAGGACACAGGCTGACAGGAGCCCAGGCAGTCCTCCTGCTGCAGCTGGCACCTGTGGATGCTCTGTGCTTGTCCAAACTGACTGGGCAGCATGTGAGATAGGAAAACAGGGGATAGAATTATTTTTTACCTGGAGCTTCATAATCTTGACACAAGTTTTCCTGTTAGAAGGGAAATAAAGTAAGATGGTTTTGAGCAACAGGTTTCCAGGTCTTCAGAAAGAGCAAATAAACAAGCCCAAGTGAATCTTGTGGCTGGTGATGCCCTGAACCCCAAGGCAGAAGCTGAGGGGCTGTGCCACCCCAAATACTGGCAAGACACAGGTATCCAGCCACCAGGCTTTTGGGTGAAGTTGCTTTCCTGTGTTCCTCTGACATAACCAAGTGATGGAGTCAAAGCATTGGGAGTAGATGAGATGGTAAAAGCAAACAACTGCCCAGAAACCTTCCCCTTTCTCTAAATAAAATAGTAGCTCCAAGCTGGGACATCCGAGTACTGCCTTTCCTGAATGGCTGAGATACAATATTTCCTTTTTAAAAAAAGAGAAAAACCTCAGCCTACACAAATACTCCAGACACTGCCTCCCTGCAGCACCAGCGGGATTTTGTAACTTGTAAATTGTATTTTATGGGACTTGATTTAGCTCTGAGTCCAAGTCCCAAAATAAGCTCCTTAACCCCTGTGCTGCTTTATGATTTCATGTCTATAAATACTTGCCCAGAGCAGGTTTCTGCATTAAGATCAACATCTGCTTCCCTGTGACAGCTGCTTCCTCCCCTGGGCTCCAACACAAGGACGCTGTTCTGGGAGCAGGAGTTTCAGTCCCATGCGGTCAAACCAGCTTTCAAAGCTGGCACAGCCATCTCCCTGGGCCACCAGCCACGCACGTGTGACCTGTCCCCAACACCGGGACCCTCATCCATCACGAGGGGGCTTTGCAGAGAAGGTACCAACTCCCCATGGGAACTGAGCTCCTGCTGGCAGGGACCACAGCCAGAAGGGATGAGCACGAAAGGGCTGCAAGGGACAAACAACTCCCAGTGGTGTAATTGTTGAAAGTTATGAGGTCCAAGTCCCCAGAGCCGAGATGAAGCTGTTTGTACAGCTCTGACAGCGTTTACACAACTGAGCAGCAGCACGTTCAAAGGACTCGGTGCTGGCTCTGCAGCCCCTCTGGGCAGGCACAGCTCCTGCCACCCTCACCACTGCCTGCCCAAACTGCTCACGGTGCTGTGGGACACAACAGACTCCGCAGATGTGTCCCACAGGAAATCTCTGGGCAGAGCACCCCATTATTTGGGAGCTGAGTGTCCTTCCCCACAGAGCTGGGCACCTGCCAGGCCCTGGAGAACAGCTCGGGGCTCAGCCAGGCACCTGCACACCCTGAGCGAGGGACCTGGTTTATGAAAGCATGAACAAAAAAGCTGCCTTTAATGTGTTCCTCAAGTTTTTAAAAGCTCTAAAATTTTGGATTTTATCAAGGGCAAGCTCCCAGTCCCTACCAGCATTCCCATCCACATCTGCAGATACATGCAGAGGGGTTTTCAATCATCCAGGTACTCTGCTGATGGAGAGGGAGCTCCTGCCTCTCCCCAAGGCCCCCAGAGCATACCTGGAGCCCATTTATCCCTGCAACAACAACGCTTCTGTCCTGTCCTACAGGCTGCTTCAGATGTTTGCAAGTCCTGTGCTAAAGAACTGAAGAAAGAAAAAGTTAAAGAATCAAAATTTGTATTAACTGAGCAAACTTTACCTTGGCTTTGATGGGTGCTTTTAGCTCAGTGGGTTATTTTGTTCTCCTGACAAGAAGGGACAGAGTTTAGTGAGAACAGTACCCAAGCCCAGTGCCCGCCCGGCCAGCTGGCCCCGCTGCAGCGCCGTGCCAGCCATCGCACCAGCTCTGCTCCCAGCTTTAACTCTCCATTTACAACTTCATCCAAACAACCCCTGTGCCAAACGGAACGCTGTCCCACTCATGCTGCTTTAATTTCCTCAGAAAGAATCCCAGAATGCGCTAGGCAAGACATCAACAATAATTAAACCCAACAGTGATTGAAAATCAAATTTTTGGGGCCTCGCAACAAGCCCTAATGAGTTCCAGACTTGCCTTCCCCGACTTGCTCAGACTGGCTGTGTGACACTGCCAAGCCAAATTAAAATCTGACAGTACTCCACGCCGTGCCCAGAAAAAGTGCCCGTCTCAGGATTCAGGAAATTAAACAGCCGTCTGCTGCGGAGACGCCCGTTTGTCTTTGCACATGGATTATTCACACACTGATCCAGAGCCTGCATTATTCTTTTCCCTTGTTTTCATTATGTCACTTCATATCCCTTTTGAAGTGCAAACTAGCTGGGACTTCTTTTTTTATAGTGCTGTGTTCAGGTGAGAGGAGACAGGCAGCCGGGCAGCAGAGCCCTGCAGACCAGGGCACCACCCCCTCGCCCCCACAGGGGTTACACTCGGCACAGCCCAGAGGGGGCCCCGAGAGGGTCTCCCAGCAGAACTACACCTTCCACTGCAGGCACTTTGTGCTTTTCCCTCATGGATTTAAGTGGAATAAAGATGGCATCTTGTCCTTTGCCCTACCACCAAGGGGAGCTGAGGATCCAGCCACATGTTTGGGGAAGGCTTGAGGGTTTCTGCATCCATGAGCCTTTTGGGGTGCACTGTGAGCCTTATGACACACCACTGTGAGCCTTCACTGCTCCACTCCCTGCAGACAATGCCCCAGAAGCTTCTGGGAGATGGGTCCAGTGCAGAAATAGCTTTGCCAGGGTGTGTTTCTGCTCCACAGCATGGAATTTGCTCAGCACTCCTTGCTGCCTACATCCAGCCCTGTTCCTGTGCTCTCTCCCACGAGGACACCCAGCCTGGAGCTGTGGCAGGGGCTCAGCCCTGCTCAGCCTTCCCTGCTCCAGACAAGGCAGGAACTGAGCTGCTGTAGCAGACCCAGCCTGCCCACAGCCCGCACACAGCCCCACGGAAAAGGGTCAGTTCTCACTCCCATGGGATCCACTCCACTCCATCTCACACACTTCCCGAGTGCTCCAGCTGGCACCCAGAGGTGCCCCCACGGGAACTGTGGCAGACAGGACCCTGTGGATGTGCCCAAGGGTTATCAGCAGCAGGGACCTGCTGGCAGGGGACACATTGCTCTGAGTCTCTGGGCATGACACACTAGGAGCCCTTCCCTGCAGCTCCCACCAAACCCTGGCCACCCCTTGCAGGGGCAGGGTCACCCTGCAGTGCCACACTGGGGGTGCCTGCCCGTGCCAGCAAGCACTGACAGTGCCACGGCAGGCAGCCAACAGGGTCAGCAGGGACAGCGAAGGTGGCAGTGCTGGAAAGAGGAGCAAGGGAGGGAGGGAAGGAGGAACCCCAAAGCCCTCAGTCTCACCTCAAAGCATCATGTATGTCAGGCAGGACACAGGGAGAGTAGGAGCACACAACACAGCCCCAGTCACCCAGACCAGGCACAGACAGCAACTCCTGCTGCCAAACACCAACCTTTGCCCGGGGCATCCTGCGAGGAGCAGCCAGTCCTCAGTAAAACCCGGCAAACAGTTTTTCTTGGGATCCAGCAGTGGCTCAGTTCAAACCTAACCTAACAAGGAGCTACACCTTGACAACAGAGGCTGACCTTCTCATCCCGACAGGCAGGGAGGGACCTCCAAGGTCAGCACCGGCAACAAACTTCCTGGCAAAGGGCAGCATCCCCCCTGGTGAAGGTTCTGCAGGTGCCCCAGTGCCCTGGGAGACCCATGGATGCTGGTCCCAGGGCACAGCACTCGGCACTGCCTGCTCGGGGCCAAGCTGGCACCAAGAGATGGAATCTCAGCAAGCTGGCAAGGGGCACTGAACTCATCCCCGAACCACGCGGTGACAAAGGTGCAGAGAGGAAGGTCGTGAAAGCAGCTGCTCCCTGACAACCCATTCCACACGCTTTTATCTGCCAACTAGAATCCCTTCCATCCAGCTCAGTGCCATGCCAGGAGGGCCTGTCGGCTATTCTGTCCCCATCCAAGGACACTGTGGCACAGCTGTGATTTCCTGGAGCGAACACTTCCAGACGGTCTGGAAGGGCACAAGCATGTCCCCCAGGACCCCAGCTCAGCGCAGCTGTGCCTTACACCAGTTAATTCAGACAACAAACAGTCGCTTTTCCAGCAAAAGCTTTGGTGGAGTAACTTTTTGTACCGAAAAAAGCCCAAACCCAGGAGCAGTGCTGGGCACTGCGGGTGGGCAGTCCCGGAGCAGGGCTGGAACTCACGGGTGGATGTGCCTATGGAGGGGCAGGGAGGAGGGAAGGACTTCAGGGATGGGGTCTGTTCCCTCCCGGCCCAGAGTGGGGGCTTCTGTCCTGTCTCAGCCCTGAGCTGGGAGGGTTTGTTCTCCTGCCGGCACAGCGCTGGGCAGAACACGGGAGATGAGGAATAGGGGGAAAAAATAAAACCCCGGAGTTTCTCAGCCGTGCCGGTGCCCGGTGGGCGCTCGCCCCTCCCGCGTCTCCCCGGACGCGGCTCCCGCTCGGTGCGGCCTCGCTGGCGTCCCCCGGGAAGGGAAGCACAGCCCGGTCCCCCCTTCGGACCCACCCGGGGCTCTGCTGGGGAGGGGGGGTACAGCCCGGTGCCCATTCCCCGGAGTGGTTCCCGGGGCAGGGGGCACAGCCCGGTGCCCCGACTCGGGATCAGTTCCCGGCCCGTTCCCGCACAGACCCGGGATGTGTTGCCGGTGTGTTCCCGGCCCGTTCCCGCACAGACCCGGGCTGTATTCCTGGTCCGTTCCCGGCCCGTTCCCGCACGGCCCCGGGATCTGTTCCCGGTGTGTTCCCGGTCCGTTCCCGCACGGCCCCGGGATCTGTTCCCGGTGTGTTCCCGGTCCGTTCCCGCACGGCCCCGGGATCTGTTCCCGGTGTGTTCCCGGTC